GAGAACCAAAGAAGAAAGATCCACTTTACATATTATATTCAGAATTTGCTAACTGTTCTCCCGCAAGTTTAGATTACTTCAAGAGTATTATTTTTACCTTAATCAGAGAGTGAATGGGTGGTATTTACATTAAGTAGATATCTTTGATTATGCAGCCTTTTTCCTTGTCCTTTTTTGTTGTACAACAAAGTATGGAGTCCAAATTCATTATTTCATACTGTAAGCTATGTGTCTGTCCTGTAGTAAAAGAAAGAATAACCTAGGTATGGTGGAGCAGGTTGAGACTGGAGGATTACAAGTTTGAGCCTTGCATGGGCAATTTAGCAAGACTGTCTCAAAAACGTTTATAAAGGAGACTAAGGATGGAGTTCAATGTGAAGGTTTTGGGTTTAATCCCCATTCCCCACCACCACACGTGTGCACACACACACACACACACACACACAAACACTCACACAGGATTACAGTGCCTGGCATACTATACAGCCAACTCAAAGACAATCTCTTTGTTAAAGTAGTATTTAGAGAAAATATATAAAGGAGAGAGGATTAAAATTCATGTTATTATGCCACTGTTTCATATAAATAGTATAAAATTCCACATTAATTTATATTTTAAGTGTTTGGATTTCTCTTTCTGCATTCCAACTTTTATTGTAGGTTGTTTCCACAAACGATACTAATTAAACTTAGTAACTTTGAATAGATAACTAAGAATAGATAACTTCGTGTTATCTATTCATTAAAATATGTACTTAAATCAACTAGTTTCTGATTAATACCTGTTATCAAAAAGACTACAGAGTCGGTAATGATTTTGGACATGAAGATGTTGAAAATTAAATTTTTTGAATTAATCCTGAAATTTTTAGAAACTAGAAAATAAATCTTTAAAAAAATAGTAAGTCTTTTGTCTTTCGGCAAAGGGTGTCATCGTACTTCTATGTTTATGTTAAAGCAGTACATACTATTATCTCAGCTAGAACATAAAGTCCTTAAGACAAGAACCATGGGGCTGGGGATTTAGCTCAGCGGCAAAAGCGCCTGCCTGGCAAGCGCAAGGTCGTGAGTTCGGTTCCTGGTACCAGAGAAAAACCAAAAAAAAAAAAAAAAAAGACAAGAACCATGTCACAGGTTGATTATCTTGTAGCAGAAGAAAGTATGTATACTATATAAACTTTTTTAGTGATTTAAGTCTAATTCAGGTAATTTACAATTTTCTGTAGTAGGTACATTCTTTAAAAGGTTTTAGAGAAAAATTATTAAATATCATTCTCTTGTTATTTTAATACACCATTCCTTCTGATTAATGATAAGGAAAAAACTTCAGCCCCCAAAAATGAATTAAGGAAAACATTATACTTAGATATTTGGGTAATAAAATTTAAACTTACTGCAATTTGAAAATGTAATATTAGCAGTGTTTTTATTATGCACCCCCCCTTTCATTGAAGATAAGTATCTAAGACTTAGAACTCAAACAGGTAAGAGGTTGAGTCACTTGACACCTTAGGCAAAGTGTTTGATCACTGAGTCTCAACTTATTCATCATTAAAATTATGATTCACACCTATAAGATTCTTTTGAGTACCTGATACAAAATGCAGTGCTTAGTATATGGAAATTTTAAATATACGCTGAAGCCCTGACATTGTTAAGAATTCCAAAGTATAAGAAAGATGTAATCTTTTTGAAAAAGAAAAACGTTTTAAAAGCAAGATAAAACAAAACCATATATAGTGTACTGAAATGTGAAGTACATGGATATAGTAGAAAAGAGCCCATTTTCACTCATAGAAGTGCAAGTAAACAGCAGGTAAAATTTATTACTCGCACTTACATACATTGCTAAAGGAAATTTCCTTATTGATGTGAAAGGTTTCCTTCTAGTTTTGTTTTGTTTTGTTTTCACCTTCTGAACTAGAAGGTAAAAAAAAATTTTATTTAGTAAGTCGGTTTATGTATTTGTACCTTCCTTGGGCACAGATTTGTGCAAATACAAATACGTGACTTGTAAATGCTCTATTTTCTCACATACTGTCCTTTTTTCACTGAAATATACATTTAATAGGAGGTACCTGCAAAGTAGTATCATGAGAGTCACAAAAAAATTTTTGAATAAAGAGGTCTTTTGACCTGAAGATTGAAATGTTACTGTATTTTCCAAACAGTTAACGTTCTAATTGTTAGATCTCTAAAATGCTGTTGGAGAAAAGCTTGGCCGGAATCCTAACTTGTGCCAGATAAATTCAGTGACTATTTCTTTAATAACTGTTATATAATGTTTTAGTAATTTCTGCTCTGCACCTTTAATACGTTCCCACCAACGTGAATGTCCTGATGGTTCATGCGTGACTGTCCCATGGGGCAGTTTGTACCACTAGTGCTACAAATGGATCTAATCACTTTTAACAGTCTTTTTGGCAGTGAGACATACAAATTAGGATCCTGTCACGAATAAGTTAATTCTAGCCATGTTCCTAAAAAACTTAAAACAAAGCTGAGCATTTCATATACTGAAAAGATTAGGCTGTGGATTTATACTTTAGATATTACTATTCACTTAGTGCTGTGTAACAGAGACCATGTCTTTTTATTACTTTTTATTACTAGTACTTTGCAGAGACCAACCTACTAAATACAGATTTTTAATGTTCATTTTTTTCTGTTAATCTACTCTTGTCTATTAAATACAGATTAAGGATGTCTACCAATTTAAATGCATAAAGGTGGTGCTAATGACCCTAAACAAGTAATGCAAATAGAAGATAAATCGGCAGAGGACTACATACTCTTCATTTAGTTCTTTACACAGTTTAACCATCTCTTCCCACTCTTAACCATTTTATTATTTTTAGCATTCTTACCATATCCTACCATTCAGTCATAGTCATTTGTTTCCGCCTCAGAGATGCTATTTCTTTAAGGACTCCTATCTTAGTCCTGCTTCGCTCTCCAAGCCTTAGTCACTCATTCCTCACCCCCACCACCGTGAGAAGCCTCCCATGAGTCTCTTGCTTACACCCTCACTGAAAAATGAATTTTCTCTGTACTTAGATTCATTGTGTCACTCAGAAACAATAGAATCACCTGTGCTGATCCTTTCACCAGCATCTTTGTTTCCTTGTCATTAAATTGTTCTATATTTTTCTAATTGAAATGTTAGATTCCTAAGAGCAGAAACCCATGTGCTTAGAATAATGCTTAACATATATAAGTCCTTAATAAATACATTCTTTGTTGAAGGAATGAGTGGAATAAAAAAATACTTAGAAATGTATGTGTTTCTAATTTTTAGGTACTAAGTGAAAATTTTTCTTAGATCAGCCTTTATAGATGGTACTCAGTTGTATTTCCTATGTCAGCTTGATAGTGGTTGCTTTGTCAGGGAGATTCCCTGTCTAACCAGTGCTTAGCAGACTTTTAACATGTGAAAGTCTAATCTAGTATTCTGTAAGCGGTCCATTGCTTAGAATTTCCAGGGCTCTGTAAAGAGTACCAGCTCTTTGCTAAGAATGCATAGTCCATCCAACTGACTTGGGCATCAGAGTTTGCTTTCTGCCATTTTCTTATCCTCAGTAACAGTAAACTGTAGGTTTTGGAGCTTAGGCAGTGGCTTTGGAACTGCTAGTTTCAGTTCTACTTATTGGGTCACTCTCTAAAGCACCTCAAACTTTGCAAAAGCTATTAAAGCTTTTATTTCTGGCCATGAACAGGCCTTTCCATGTGGGTTGTAACCAGACGCCTAAGAATAAAGAATCTTCAGCTGATGTGCTGATAATCATTTGAAAGTACTAGACCAAGAAGAAGAATATTGAAAGAAAGAAATAATAAAACTCAGAAAACAGAGCAACAGACGAGATTTTAAAGAGAGGAGGAAAAAGCAAGGTGAATATTGTTTTGTTTGCTAGCAGTGAGTCATAACTGAGCATAGAATTAGTGTTAGTAATGTACCCGCATTGAGATGGGGAAACTGCATTTTCTGGAGGAAAATAACACGTGATCAACAGCCTGAGTCATTGCCTCTGGAGTTTAATTTAAAAGAATCCTGAAGCACCTTAAGATCCCCACAGAAATCTTTTTCCTCTTTATTATTGTATAGACAATGCTATCATTCCTCAAACACCAACACATTTAATATAATAAAAATTGATATGTTAAGTATCTTTAAAGGACCTGAAGGAGTGGAGTGTGGTGGCGCACACCTGTTACCTCAGCACTTGGGAGGCTGAGGCAGGAGGATGGCCCCAAGTTTGAGGCCAGCCTGGAATACAGAGCAAGACCCTGTCTCAGAGAAACCAAAAATTAATTAATTAGTAACATTCAGAGTATGAATAGGATATATACCAAAAGATAGTCTATAAATAATTGTTGGCAAATATCCTGAAGAAGCAAATGATGCTTTCCCAAAAGCATCCCATAAACATCCATGAGTGTGGTTACAGGGCCAATAATTAACAGCCTTTTTCAAATTTTGAATAATGCCAGCCACTAAACAGAGTAATTTACAGGCATCGTCTTTGTCCTTAAAGCACTGTAAGATATGCCTTGCCTCTTCTATAATAGAAGATACTAAAGAAAAATATTCTCAAAAGCTTTTTCAGCTCACACAATAGTGTGGTTAGGATTTGAATATAGATTTGAAAATTGACTCAGAGCTCTTGGTCTTTACCTTTATGCTGTCCTACTTTCATATGTAAGAAATATTTGTATACTTTGCATGCCAAACAGTGTGCTAGATTTTCTACAATTCACACCATACATTTTAACAGAATACCTGATAACTGTAAGGTAAAGTAATCATTACTGCTATTACAGAGGTACAGATCAGTTACCACAGGAGTAAAAAAAGCATTCATAAGTGGTGGCTTACAAACATGAAACACAACTATTTGTATATATAGAAATGTTTGGATTTGAGTTTGCCTTTTATTTATTGATTCAGTTTCCTAACATTTATTGGGAGTATATTTATTTTATTTATTTTTTAATCATAACAGTTCACAGAAGAAAAGCTTGGCCAAGCAGAGAAGACAGAATTGGATGCTCACTTAGAGAACCTCCTTAGCAAAGCTGAATGTACCAAAATATGGACAGAAAAAATAATGAAACAAACTGAAGTATTATTGCAGCCAAATCCAAGTAAGAAACATTGCCTCTTATCCACTTTAAGTTCTGTTAATAGGTTTTTAAATGTTAAAAGTAAACTTTATTGTGGCTTCAAGATCTGCGATATTTTTTTGTATGTCTGCTTTGGGTAAAGAAATGATAAGTGCTTCTGTGTATTCTAACAAATTCACAAAATAACATTTCTCAGGCCTTTCTGGAATCCTCTGAAAACTTTAAATTCAGGCAGTGAATTTGAACTTTATGAGTTTCAAGGGGCCAAGAAGATAAATACATCTTTCTTTTTTGCCTAGGGAAAAATAGTTCCTAAATAATTAAAGGAAGGTTAACATAGAAGCTTAAATAACTACCAGTTTTTATGTTTACATGTTACATTTTTATATAAATTACTCCATTTGGTTTTCCGACAAATGTGAGTTCTATCACTCAAGTTAATAACTTTGCAAGTAAGATGTATAATAATTATTGGATAAGACTCCCAAGTTAACCTCTTATTCAGTGTAGAACAGCTAATTAAAAGTAGAATTTTAGGGGCTGGGGATTTAGCTCAGTGGCAAAAGCGCCTGCTTGGCTATAGCGCAAGGTCACGAGTTCGGTTCCCGGTACCGGAGAAAAAAAAACAAAAAAATAAAAAATAAAAAATAAAATAAAATAAAAGTAGAATTTGGACAAGAACCAGGTTTATTGACATCTAGTCTTTTCACTATAGGCTTTACATATCAAAAATGAAGAACAGATAGTGCATGCGTTCCTTTCCTTCGCTAGTGCTATTATGACTATGTTGCAAAATCCCACAAACTTATTTTAAGATACTAACATAAGCTTCCATCACTATAAAATATTATTAATTACGTGCCATTTTAGTAGTTGGAGTAATGTTCTAAAATAAGCCTTTCATCCCTTGAATGAGACTTGTCTTTGAACATCATGGATATTTCTTACTCATTTAAGGTCATTTAAATTATATAGCGTAGCCAAATGTGGTGGCTCACACCTGTAATCCCAGCACTTGGGAGGCTGAGGCCAGAGGATTTGTGCAAGTTCAAGGCCAGCCTGAACTACAAAGCAAGACCCTGTCTAAATAAATAAATAGAATAGCATTACACTTTTTAAAAGTAGAGCACATTTTTCCTCCTATTCTTCCTCTATTCAAAAGTCCTCACATGTAGAATCTTTTCTACAGTGTGTTTTTCTGATTAGCAGGTAAGTTCACTTATGACGGGTTGATAGAGGAATATAATACAATTCCCCATACCCCTATTGTGTGTGGTAAAATAGTAACAGGTTTTTTTGTTATTGTTTATGCCATTGTTGTAAAGTTACATGGATTTTGAGTGGTCAAACTGACCCCTTTTCCCTGTAAGTCCTATTTTTAGTGTTTGATTTTTTTCCTGTCAACTAAGTATTTTCAGAAATGTTATACATAAATACATATATAGTACATTATAGCAGAGTTGACTGCATATTTTAAGATTTTATGACCTATTGAGTGACCTATTAAAAGAAGCAGTTATTTACTGATATACCAGACATCTTATTAACAGAATGAAATCAACTTATGATTCATATTTAAACCTTTGACCTTGTTTTGAAATGAATCATTTAAGTAACTTAAAGGGTCGTGTAAAAACTTTGCTTTGAATCTTCTAATTTTCTGCCACAGAAGTAGGTATTATTCCAGCATCCTATAATACATATAATTGGTACTTTAGCCAACTTCTGAAGTGTTTCCATTACTGGTTCAACTCAGTTTTAAATTTTTAAGCATGTTGTGTGAAACTTCTGATTATATAGTAATCTATATGAGGTGCTTACAAAGAACCTATGTGACTTAGCTTCTTTGGGGGTTGTAGCTTTAATTTATACTTAATCATTGTTTCTGAAAACTTGAGCCATTTTTTTATTTGTCCCTGGAATACCTTGCTGTTGGCCAACAATGTAAATTTGAATTTCTTTCATTTTAAATATTACCCTAACCAAGTGTATATTTAGCTTTTACTGATTTTTTTTTCCTTTCCATTTGTACTAGTATTCTGTGATTGCCTTTATCCTTTTGCATTTTAAACTTACTTATAATGATAAAATTTTTTCAGTGAATGCATGTTCAGAGATACCACCTATATGTATCTTTGAACTTTAAACATAAGTAAACTGAAACTAAGTCTTCGTGTTGCTAATCTGTCTAGAGACTACTCCAAGCCTGAATCTGTCTCTTAAGCTTCTGTGCCTATATTTAGACTCCCTGGCAAGAGGTGCTCCTGTTGAAGGTATCAGATACGACTTTTCAGTTCTTTTAGACATCTACTTTATATCCGTGTTTTCTCAGCTGAAGATCTCTAATTTTGAAATTGTATATATATGTAGAGAGAGAGTTTAAAATGCTAAAACTAGGACAGAGGCAACTTCACTAGATAATAAGTACTATCACTCCTCTTCTGAAACTTGAAATCCCTTAAAGTATTCAAATAATAATGAACTTAGTTTTATTATAAAGTGGTTTTCTGCCAAGATATTTTATTGGGTTTCTAAAATACAAGTTTCTTAGAGCTATATGACACTCTTACATATAAATTTTAAAATTAAATATAAAATTATATACTTGAGTAAATGGTAATTTCATATTCATGAGGCGGTAAATGTCCGGAGGTCCGCAAAGCAGCCTTTTAAATAGTTTTGCTCTTTTGAAGTCACTGGTAATTTTAATCTCGCTCCTCCTAGATGCTAGAATAGAAGAATTTGTTTATGAGAAACTGGATAGAAAAGCTCCAAGTCGTATAAACAACCCAGAACTTTTGGGACAGTATATGATTGATGCAGGGACTGAGTTTGGCCCGGGAACAGCTTATGGTAAGTGCAAAGCAAAAGGTTTTGATAAGAAGTACTCTTACATTAGATTTTTGCTACTTAGAGATGTTGTTAACATATAATAGAATCAGTTTTAATTTTAAATTTATTGTGTTAAAATTGTAATGAACAGAAATAGGTGATCAATAAATTTGTACATTTTAATGTTTAAGCATTATTTATTGAGAAAGCACATCTTCTTTAGTTCTAAACAATTAAAATAATTCTTTACCTGTACTGCCATCGTTCCTGCAACATCTTTATTGTAGTATTTCTTGTATTGTATTGCAGTTATTGTTTACACATGTCTCTCCATGATTTTTATAAAGCTTTCCTGAGGGCTATTTATTTTCCATTAAAGGTACTTCATACACAGTAAATGTTTGAACAAATCACTGGTGCTTTCATTAAAATTTTGCAAAAATGCCAGAACCCTCAAAAATTTTAGCAATGGTTCTCTCTGGATGTTTGAATTACATTTTATTTCATTTCCCCCTTACATATTTCATGTTTCCTATGATTATGTTTTATAGGTAAGCTAGTTTTGCTTAGTTGTTGTTCTTTTTAAATGTATGACTCTGAAGTTCAAAGTCACACATCTTTATTATTGAGACGCATTTTCTTGTGAGACTATTTCAGATTTCTTTAGCTGCCTTTCCCTGTTGTTTATGGCTAATATTATTTAAGACTACTTCAACAAATTGCTTGTTTGAGTGTTAAATGGTAAGTAGGTTAAATGAATTTCACAGATAAGTATCTGTGAAATAGCTCCTAAATTCTGTGATTCTATGAATTTAAGATTTTAGTAGTTATCTTTATGTCAGAAAATAACTCATGTATATTCCGTAATACGTTTCATCCATCAAATGCCCTTGTAGATTTACAACATTGAAATAGTTACATTGTGTTCTTCAAATTCTAATTCATTGAAAAGTCTGAAATGCTCAAAAGAAATTTGAAATTTAAATATTTGTAACTGTTAATTTTTAGGAAAACTTTGTGTTTTATTGCCTGTTTATGCTGGGGTCATAAAGGCTCATGAAGGCAATCCAGCCTTTTTCTTCACAGCTGAAGGCCTGTTGGAGCATGAATATTAGAAAAACTTTCAGATTTCCTTTTTTTGTCAGCTTAATCTGTTTGCTCCTGAATGTATCCTAATACTTGGAATTTGGCTTGGAAAATCCATTAATAGTAGAAGGCAAAAGCTAAAAATTGGATATTCCAGGCATTAAACTAAGCACTATACTATGTGTGCAAATATATGTACTTTTGTAAATTGTCGTTTATATCTTATAACATTTATCATCTCCACTTTAGAGATAAGGAAACTCAGACTTGGAGAAGTTAAATAATTCATCCATGTTTACACAGCTAATAAATTCAAATTTAGATCTGCCTATATCCAGGGACAGAGCTCTTAACTACTATGCTTTTACCTTCCTTACCAGTAAGACCTAATCTCATTGTAATATGATCCTAAGATACACGGTAAAACTTACTAAAATAGAACAGAGTAGAACCTAATCTTGAGATTCCCTTTATTTTTGCTCTACTTTCTACCTCTGATTTTACCTACTGTGTTTCTCCTATTTAAATATCAGGTATACATGTTGTAAAACAGGAGGTTTTCTTAAAATGTAAATTATTTATAGATACAGTACTTGAGATAAGTACAGATAGAAACAGAAGACAAATTGTGACTTAATCCACTTGTTAAAATAGTGTAAGCTTTGTATTTTTCTAAAGCTGTGACGATAAATAATTTTTGGCATATCTGTCCTCTTTAGTCTCATTGGTAGATTTGCCAATTAACTATGATGTAGGAAATCATATTGATCTTTTTCACTTAGATATTTGTCTTGAATTTGCTTTTAAATCTACCTTAATTACAGTTAATTCTGTTTAATTTTACTGAGATAAACAAATGATAACTTTTAAGCAGATCAAACTGGTAATTTATCTTCATATGATTTTGATTTTCTGACATTAACAAACACTGTTTTTTTCTTCGCAGGTAATGCCCTTATTAAATGTGGAGAAACACAAAAACGAATTGGAACAGCTGACAGAGAGCTGATTCAAACATCAGCCTTAAATTTTCTTACTCCTTTAAGAAACTTCATAGAAGGAGATTACAAAACAATTGCTGTGAGTTGGAAAATGTTACCTTTTTTAGTAAAATTATTTAAATATATGTTTACAGTTTTTAGTGAATAATTTTACTAAATGACTATAAATGTAGCAGATTAGAAAACTGAAATATTGCTGGGTAGGTACATTTTCAACCAGCACATAAAACTAGACCAAAAATAAAGGATCTTAGTAACATAATTCCATTTTTGTATTCTGTAGTGTTGAGATACATTTGCATTCATTCTCGGTTGTTACGGACTCTAAAATCTATAGAGAAGTTCCTAGAATGATTATGAAAATACGCTACAAAATATTACCATAGGCTAGTAGGTAGCCATTTGTTTAAACTGGAGCTAGAAGCCTAATTCTTAGAATGTATGTATGTGTAGCTCTTATACTTTATTTCTTTACCCATTTCTAGAAATGAATCATCTTCTTACACTGCTATTTTTTTACTGATAAGTATATGCTGTATGTTCTTTTTTTTTTTTTTTTTTTTTTTACGGTACCAGGGATCTACCTTGGAACCTTGCGCTTGCCAGGTAGGCACTTGTGCCACTGAGCAATATCCCCAGCCTATACTGTATGTTGTTAATGAATGTCAGCATCTTAAGCCTTTATCTTTTCTATATTTATAGAAAGAAAGGAAACTACTACAAAATAAGAGACTGGATTTGGACGCAGCAAAAACCAGACTAAAAAAGGCAAAAGCTGCAGAAACTAGAAGTTCAGTAAGTAGTTTTTTGCTTGTTTCTTTTTGGTTCTTTTTTTTTTTTTCTGGTAGAAAAGCATATTAGGTCAATACTTTAAAATTTGTAAAATATTTTAATGATATACTATATATGACATGAATTATATTTAAGAATAGAGTTTGACTTTAAGGTCTTATTTTTGTGGTTTTAAACAAATTCATCAGAATTTACACATCCAAGTCATTAAATTGTAGTCATATCAGGAGACATTATTCAGCAATACAGCTGCTGCTAAAAACCAAAAATTAGATCCAAAGAAAACTGTGTCATGTTCTTTAAATATCATTAGCAGTGATAGCAAATATGTCTTTTGAAGATAGATTTATTATATTGGGAAATAACAAAAACAAAGATACTAATTAGGATGTGAATGAGTCAAGTTCTTGAATATTTATATGTAGCTTAAAAATTAAATGAATTTCCTTTCCACATTTGATTAAAACTGATGAAAGAATTGTCATTAGGAAGAGTATTCAGACAGTAACAGCAGGGACTCCAGGGTGACTAATTTGATGGGAAAGAAACACATTTGGGTAAATTCTGGTTTATTTTTTGGAAAGCCATTCTCACAATAGCTTAAAATTGAGTAGCTATATATTAAAGGTGATAGTTGTATGATTTTAAATACAATTTTCTTACAAGATTATATTTATAAGCTTTTTAGTTGTACTCTTTCAGTTCCAAAGGTTGAAAAGATTAATCAGATTTGAATTGGAACACTTCAAGTAGTACAGTATAACAAATGTGTATTTGTCAATGGAAGCTAACAATGCTTAATTTGATCAAAGGGAGGATATGTTTTAAGAGACTTAATATTCCCACTGCTCTCTACTAACTTCCCTACTACTGCTGCCATCAAGACGCATTAGCTTAATGAGAATATGGAGAATGAAATTTAAAACTAATACCTTGGTACTAGTAGTATCTTATATTACCCCAACTCCTTTTATGAGTAGAATGTTTTTTAATAGGCTTCTCCTTTCGGCAATTTTAGCTACTGCTGGAAAAAGAGCTATCATTGGTGAAACATTAATTCTAAATTTACTGTTAATACCAAATTCAGTTGCACTGCCCAGTTTATCATGAGGTTATCAGCAAAACTTCACTAAATAGACTCTGCAGAATTAAAACTTTAAAAATGAATACTGTAGTTGTAAAGAAACTCTTTAACTTCCTGCTTTCTAATTGCTAGTGAATTTGTATAGTAAAATACCAAAAGGGTGAAGACCAAAATGTATAATAAGTATTTGGAAATAGGAAGAAAGTGTTCAAATGGAAGTGGAACAAGGGAGAGGGGAGGTGAAAAGGAAGAAAGGGAGAGGGAAAAAAAACAATAGAAGGAAAAAAGTGGAAACAAAGTTTTTGTAAATCAGGAGGGAAGAGGGATTGAAGGGAGAGGAGGGAATTGGGGTAAAAAAGAATCAGGATGTATCATGGACAAGCACAAATTCCCTGTGATGAATGTGATCACTATGTATAAAGTATACCAATGAAATTAATTGTATATATAAATTGGTTAAGATACGAATTTTCTATCAGGAAAAAGATAAAAATCATTTGGAAATAAATATTTTAACTAGAATAGAATCTTATAATTTAAAATGCCTATATGTGCGCAGTGATTATTGTGGAATACAGATAGTTTAAATTTCAGCACAAAGCATTTGTTTAGCAAGCACTGTTAAAGGGTAATGGTAAAAAAAAAAAAAAAAAAAGGATAATGGTAATTTGCTCTTTTACCTAGAAAGTGCCCAGAAGCACATAGATTTAACAGTATACAAAGTCCTTTGATTATTCTAAACTATTGTGAACTATTTTACCGTGACTATTAAGATACATAAGACAAACTTAGAGAAGTAGTTGTTTGCATAACTAAGAAAGGTGTTGGTAATTGTTTTGTGGTATGTATTTTTGAACAGAATATTGTTCATGGGAATTTATGTTTAAAATTAAAATGATTAAAGTTATATAATCCAGCAATTTCATTTTTATGCTTTCCTAGAATTTCTATATTACATAATACGAATTTTATAGCCAAATATTAAAATGTTACTGTAGACAAAAACTCATGTTTCCTAATAAAAATATTCAAATTCCCCTTAGGTAAAATATTCATATTTCTTGCCCAGAGTGTTGGCACATGTCTATAATCCCAGGTACTCTAGAGGCTGAGGCAGGAGGATCAAAAGTTTGTGTCCAGGCTAGGGAATTTAGCAGTATCCTATCTCAATATAAAAAGGGCTGGAGATACAGCTAAGTGGTGTAGTACAAAGAAAATTTTCATTCCCTTATTTTTCTTCAAATTTTATAGCAGTAAGTCTGAACTATTTTGGAGAGGAAAAGTCCTCTTAGTTTATTACATAAAGCCTTCCCGTATGCCTGTATTTGATTAAAACCCCTCCTTATTTTCTTCCATTTCCTTGAAGAATACAGAATAGTAGAAATAAACCAGACACACAAGCTTAATATCTCATAGTTTCTCTTATATGAGAAGCCTAAAGTGTAACTAATTTAAAGAGTGAAGTAAAGGATAGATAGTAGGAAACAGGGAGACAAATTATTTTGCAAATGAGAATGGAATTTAGAGGCGGAGGGGAAGAGAAGGGAAAGTAAAAAGCATGTACCAACTCCCCACACTGAATGTAATCATTATGTACTGCAAAAGTGCATATACTAATAAAAAATGTTAAATTTCTTTTGTTTTTGTGTTTTTGTTTGAGACAGTCTTGCTATGTAGTTCAGGTTGGCCTTAAACTCACTATCTACAGCCCAGGCTGGCCTCAAACCCATGGCAATCCTCCTGCCTTAGTCTCCTGAGTGCTGAGATTACAGGCATGCAACACCATACCTGGCTAAAAATAATTTTTTTTAAAAGAAACTGCTGGGAGGTAGGGTTTACTTCCCTTCCCCACCCCCTTTATGTTTGAGAAATGGTCTTACTACATCACTGTGTTGCCCAGTGTAAGTTCAAACTCGGAGTCATCCTGCCCTAGCCTTCCAGAGTGTTGGCATTAAAAGTGTTTGCCAGCACATCTGGCTTTTTTCCCCTTTTTTCACATATTTTTTGGTTCCCAGTTGGATCTTACCCTAGGCTTTGATTGCACTGCTTTATAAATTTACATGAATTATTACATGGCTAGTGCTAGTAAAGTTTGGGACATATGCAAATCAACACTTCTTTAAAAATTCATTTACTAGTTTACTTGGACCTCTTTTTAAATTCTGTATTTGAGTGCTAATTATGTATAAGATGCTCTACTGAAAAGGAATTCATAGATAAATAATACAAAATCTTTGTTGTCTTCCATCTACAGTCCACTATAGTAAGCTAAACTTTTCTGTGATTTAGTCCTATTGATGAAATACCTGCCTGTATCCAATATTGCTGCTCTACTAACTTGTGTTTTACTAGTTAGCATGTTGAAGAATTTGCAAAGCGATCTCAAAGGTATTTCTTAAGGTACACAAGTTAAGCATAAAACAGAAAGCATACTTTGTTCAAAATGAATAACAGTACAGCTTTAAAAATAGTTTATATATACGAAACATGTCAGAGAAGTAAGATCAGTATAATTCATGCATTTAAATTATAAGGCACTCACCTTTATTAACCTAATCTTAGTCTAATATAAACTTTCAAAAAATTGTTTTAGAGTTTAGTTAATGGGAAGAAAATGACTGATTTCACAGTTCTCCAGTGTTTAGAGATTTAAACTGTGATTTTGGAGCATCTAAATTTGATAATACTTCACATAGCACATATTCACAACACACTTAAACATGGTTGAAGGCATTGTACTTGTACAAAATCGAAATGGTCTTTGAATAGGATAATTGAGTATAGGCAGAGAGCTTTTGTTGGTGGAAGTTTAATGAAAATTTTAGTTAATTGGCAGTTGTGAGATTTCCCTAAATGATTCTAATTTAAAATTAAACCTAACCATTTTTTGTTTTAAAAATTTGAATCTTTAAGTATAAAAAAATCACCTCATTTAATACTTGTTTAGTGTGTGCTTTATTGTGCAGAAGTAACTTGTTTCACTGTGTTCATTGGTATAATGTGTTCTTTGTCTTTATCTATGCATTTAAGCAACTAAACTCAGCCCGACTTGAAGGAGATAACATTATGGTAAATTTCTCTTACATGCTCAACTTCCTGCATGTAAAATGGCTGAAGGTTTGTTGGCCTACTGTGTTTTCTACATCTTGAATAAAGTGCCTTCTCTTGCTATTAGCTGAAAGTAAAATTGTTGAAGCCGTGAGTTCAGTTATGTATAGGAAAAAGTACTAGCTGAAGTGATACTGGAACTTGAAGAAAAACACTGTATATTTTAATTGCCAATGGTATTGATTATACCAAATACGATTGTAGAATCATAGATTTACTGTACTGCCTTTTTTTTTTTTTTTTTTTTGGTTTTTCTCCGGAACTGGGAACTGAACTCATGACCTTGCGCTTGCCAGGCAGGCACTTTTGCCACTGAGCTAAATCCCCAGCCCCTTGTACTGCCTTTTTACACTCAGTAAAAAATGGTAAGCTGGCACCTCAGATTTTCGCTGAAGAAAATTAACATTTACCTCTTCAAAGAAAGATAAAGAGCCACAAACTGATTTTTAGCCCACAGCAGCTTCACCATTTACCATTTTTTACCCAAACTCAATAAAGAATTATTTTCTTCAGCCATTGCAGGCTAAAATAAACTCCAGGAAGTTATTCTTGTAGTGGCCAGACCCATTTCACTGCTACTTCAAAATGGTGATAGTCTGCAGCAAAATTAGAGAATAAAAGTTGGTTTATAATATCTAATGTGTATTTTGAGTTCAGTTTGAGGAAATTTTTGATATATTAAAATTTTTAATGAAATACGGAATTGTGAAATGCAAGCACAGCCAGACAGTTTGTTTGTTAGCTGATGAAAATTGGTAGCATTTGGTACTCATAGACACATTACTTCCACTCAAAGTGACAAGTCTTCAGTACAGTTAATAATAAATTGGCAATTAATTGACTGCTTTTATTCCATTAGCATTAAGCTAAAAGCAGAAGAAAAGTATTTTTTTAAACTATAATTATTGAAGTCCTGGCTAAAGTAGGGTTTTCCTTAGCAAGAGAATGCATTTATTTCCATTGTCCTATGTATAGAAAAATGTCATTGCTAATTTAGTGTACAAATCATAGGTTTTCTTTTGTCTTAGGTAAAAATATCCTAAATTATTAGCAGGACTTTGTTTCCTTCACTAAGGGTTGTTTTACTGCTAATGTCATCTGTGTATAGTAAGATATGTTTAACTATAGTAATTTTAAATTAATTATATTTCAAGTTTATTGTTTTCTCTCAAAAAAAGGTTTTATCAGCTACATTTGTTGTCCGTTTATCCTTGATTTATTTTCATGCATTAGAATTCTAGAATTTATACTTGAAAGAGAAGTTAGAATTCATTTACCCCACCCAAACCTCTCATTTTGTAGATAAGAAAACTAGAACTATGACAAGTTAAACATTCCCAATTTGGGAAAACTGTTATTAGTTTATAACATTAGCATATTTTAAAACTCATAGAATTGTTACGTACAAAAGGCGTACTTTGACTATGAATATGATAAGCTGCACTGATTTAGTTACTACAGTGTTTAATCTGTTAGTATGATTCTGTAGAAAGCAGAGTATGCCATTTGAATTAGAATTCTTACATTTGTCTTTCCTAAATTGTAGAAAATGCTAAATCCCAACTTTCTTTCATGCTCTATATTTTTCTCTAATTTTCAATGCTGACTAGATTTGGGCAGAGGAAGTAACAAAAGTAAGTAAATTATTACATGACAGAATTATGAAGCAAAAAATTATTTGCCATTCATTTAGTAAACATTTGTTGGGTGACAACTTTGAGACTAGTCACAGTCTATGTTACTGTATCTTTTAAAATCTGAACTATATGGAAATGCTTCAGTCTATTTGGCCAATAGCAGCTCCACACTGTTGCAGAGATATGATTTGCCCATATCATGATAAATCCTACATTACTGTTAATCAAGTTGTGCCTTTGTAAGAAACAGGTAAAACATAAGATTTATTCATTGATAATTTTTTAAATGACAGATTTTTAAATGTGATCTAGTTAACATCATTAAATAACTAGAGCATCTCTACCACCAAAGGTATTTTTTGTCACTTTAGCAGAAAATATCTGGAAAAAAATGTTCTTTACTCTGTTTTAAACACAGGATAGCAAGCATTTCATTTTACAGTTAAGGTCACTATTATGAATATCCATTATTGTATGATGTAACAATTGGATCCATTGTTTTTGTCTTTTTCCCTCGTATCAGACTGCTACCAGTCTCTGTACTGTGTTACCATTTCTAATCTTCTCTGGGCTGGAAAATAAAGTAATAAAGCAAGAATTTAAGAAATCAAATGAGAATTTCAACGTACATTTGCTTCAAATGCTACTTTAGGTCTTTAGAAGCATTTTTCATTTATTCTCCAGTTCAGAGGCCTACCAAAACCTGACCTCCAATGAGGATGATGTTGGAGATGAGGGCAAGTGGTAATTATGGCCCCGGACTTTAATAGCCATATAAACTTTGAACTATTTTCTGACATCATGAGATTGCTGATTAGATAGTCTGTTTCAGGCATAGGTTACAGAGCCATTGACTCTACAACTTGGATGTCCAGTATAAGTCTTGACCTAGACTCTCATCCCCCTCTGAAATGTTTTCATTAACTTACTTTGTGGTTCCACCCTGGCTTCTGACTTCTTCCTGAGCCTCTAGCCTGAAAAGAAGGCAGAGCTACAAGGGAGAGAATGTAGCCTGAACAAGAAACCAGATGTCTTCCCTTTAGTTGACATACATGAACACCAAAAAGTTTCTGACTTGATTGTGCACCTTCTACAAGTTTGGGAAATAATGTAATAAATGAGAAGAAAATGATGACACAAATGTTTATATTGTAGATATATAAAATGTTAAGGAAATACTTCAGAATGGATTTGAGGAGATTTTTTTCCTTCTGTACTGCTGTTCTTTTTATAATTTAAAAATGTATAAACTTTAAAACTTCATATTCCTGGAGTATTGTAAATTTAAGCCTATAATTGACACCAGTAATTGACACCAGTCAAGATTATTACAACAAATGCCTCAAAAGTATGATCAAAATTTCTCTTATGTCCATTCCTGTTATCAAAGAAGAATACATTATTGCACATTTTCCAAATTACATCTTAAACTCTTACTGTTTACTTAATTTTATACTAGCATCTAGTCTAAATTAACTAGTGTAGTAACAGTAATTCTTAGTAGCTCTTTTCCCTAGAACTCTGTACATTAAGTTAAATCAGGGAATAAGATATTCTGGAGGACAGAATATCAGCTGTTTTAATTCATTGTCTTTACATCTTTCTTAGGGTTAGGGCTATGCAGCTCAGTGGCAGAGCACTTGCCTGCTTTGCTCGAGGCCCTCGGTTTGGTCACCAGCACTATAAATAAACAATAAATAAGCCTTTTTCATTTACCTTTCCAGTATAGATCATTTTCTTCCTGATGAATCTAACTTAAATTTGTTTAGCTTCTCAGATTAATTATGCTCAATTGCATGTGTCAGTAATATAGCTGCTTTGGGACATTCAACTATGTTCAAAGCCACCTCAAACATCTACTGAAATAATAAATTTTATTCAAACCTAGATGGCTGACTTCTTGTCCTTACTGAGATTATTTTAATTTCATTTTTATTCAGTGCTTTTAGCATTAATTATTTTCACTTCAGTCTCAAGCTTTCTGCTCTCTTCAGCCTGCTATCTACCTACTTTTTTACACTGTGTTGAGAAATATTGCTGTATACTAGGCTTCTTTGCCATTTCTACTAACAGCCATTAAATGGTACTTTCACAGAGAGACTAGCCTAGTTTACTTCTGAAGTTCATTTATTTTGATTTACTGCAATTTCTTTTATTAAAGTCATTTTATATTCAACCACATAGAAGGGTAAATAGTACAAAGGTGATGCTGAAGTGATTGTTTTCCCTGATGCTTTCCTTGGGAAGAACATTGATTCTTCCCGTGGGACTTTTTTTTCTGCTTCATTCTAGCTTCCAGAGAAGCCCACTTTAATCCTGCTGAAGTATTCATGTTCTACTCAAATTTAACTTCATTGTTTTTTTTACTGAACAATTCATAAATCCAGCTCACGTTCATAAATCCAGTCTAGCGGTCAATTCTTAGCCCCCTTTCCAAGGCCTGTTGCCATTGGAATATTGTATCAGCTACCTGCTTTGTGCTCCTTCCTTGACTAGCCCACTAGGTTAACTATTGCCATCCAAGGATGAAAGAAATGGAGATGATGCGTGAAATTTCACATTAAAATTTAGACCTTGTTAATCTTGAAAAATGATGTTAAATCTTTAAAAATGTTGTAAAGAATATTTACATAGGAAAAAGCCATGTATGCTAGAAAGGTAATAAAAAATACCATAATGGCATTGTTACCAAAGGTCATAGAAGGGGGAATTACTTTGAATGAGCTGTGAATGAGGTTTTACTTTTTTCGTTTCCATTTTATTGCCAACAAGTTATAAGTAAAAGTTTTAAGAGGACATTTTATGCCAGTATTTACTATTTTTAGAGGTGTTAATTTTTCACTGAACTAGTTTGTCCCAACACTAAATGTGTCAGATGTTCAAAACCAGTAGTATTATATATATCTCTTCCATCTAACGCCAAAGTCAGTGACTTCACATTGGTAGCTTGAAATCAGCCATGCAGGAGTGTTTTATAATGGAAATCAGGATGTTAGCACTTTTCTTTTTTTCCTTGAAAACCAGTTGATCAGCATAACACTGAAGGTCATTTATAACTTCTAAGAAAACTTTTTATAAACCCTTACTGTAGCAGAATACTTCTGCTTAAAGCCTATTTTAAGCATAATTTAGAAAGAAAATTTAGAAGAAAGATATGTAAAATATACGGCAAAGAAGTATTTGAAAGAACCAAAGAACTATTCCTAACAATAACTGTTTGGTAACTAAACCAGTAGAAATCCTATTGCTTCACTCTAAAGTCTTTTGTATCTGAAATTGAAACCTTGTTTAAAACTATAGTAATAATTGAGAATTTTAAAGAATAATATACTTGTGAAAGTGTGGTCCTCTTAAATTTTGTAAAATGTTAAACTTGGCAGAATTGAAACCAGAAAATACCCTAACTGCCCATAGTAGGTTTTCTAGGCTCCTTAAGCTTTGGCATTGGTAACTTCTTTTGAATCAAGTGCTGGTAAGGAATCAGTTCTTTTGAGGTTGAGTAGTACAGCAAACTTAAGTTTAGGTGTCATAAAAGTAGAATCAGGGAATTGCCAGATTATAATTTGGGATTTGTTTGAGGGATTTTTAACTGCCTAAAAGAATTTATGTAAAATGGGCTAAGTCTTCCAATAAGATTCTAAAACTGTGTCCTAATTTAAGTCTGAACAGGAATTAAGAATAACTCAAAGTGAGTTTGATCGTCAAGCTGAGATTACCAGACTTCTGCTAGAGGGAATCAGCAGTACACATGTGAGTATTCATTCATCGAAAATTCATCCGAACAGAAGACTGATCATTCTAAGGCAACTTGGAGTAAAGACTGAACTCCCTTTTCAGTCATTATTAAGGAAACTTACATTATGGTGCTAAAGATATGTAAGGAAATATTTTAAATTTCTTACTTACATCCCATCATCATCTACTTGTCCCACCCTTATCAAATACTCCCGTTGACGTTCATTGGCTAAACAAAGTTTATCATTATACTGTTCACCAAGGTCAGTCTTAATAAGCCTGTAGTAAAATGCCAGATATATGATTGTCCTTCATTACAATGTTATAATTTGTCCCCTCTTAGCATACCATTTTGAGAGCTAAGAACTGACTATAACTTTCCTTTACAGGCTCATCATCTTCGCTGTCTGAATGACTTTGTAGAAGCCCAGATGACTTACTATGCACAGTGTTACCAATACATGCTAGATCTCCAGAAACAACTGGGAAGGTGGTAATTTTCTTTTCACATATTGAAGTCTTAGATAAGAGAAGAAATAAGAAATTCAGGTGTTTGCATGTGGACTACTAGCAAGGATAATTAGAAGAATTGGAGCCTTTGGACTTGCACAGAATTGAGTTTTTGGTTTTTTTTTTAATGGAAGAATCAAACTTCTAAAATCACAAAACATTTAGAGCTTTTCTGGCTCAGGAGGATATTAACAGTGATAAATGAATACCTTTCTTGTGACATAAAGCAAGCTTTTAGTGAGGTTTTACTTTTCTTTTGCTACTGCATGCTTTTTTGCTGTTGGTCAACGCATAGTTGCCCATAAAGATAAACTAATTTATATGTGTTGATTATAGTGGTACCTTGGTTCACAAACTTGGTTCTCTCCATGATTCTGGTGGCAGATTGAACTGGATGAGAACCGAATCAAATTGCCCTACAAGATCAACATTGACCTAACCACTGAATTTGATTCGGATCTCATCCAACTCAATTTGCAACCAGAATCGTGGAAAGAATCAAGTTCGTGAACTGAGGTACCATTGTACCTACTTAGTAAAGAGGAAGAAAAGTTTTGGAATATTCTGTAAGGACTCAAGACCCCTGACACGAATATTCTGACTTTGGTAATGTACTTTAAAGCAAAATGACAATATATAAAGCACATAGCTCTGGAGTTATATCAACAAACAAAACAGGCAAAATGCTTACCTGTAGGGAGCTCACACTGTAAGGTGGTATGGGAAAAATATATAGGGCAAATACGATCTCTGCTTTCACAACATTTAAAGTCTAGGTAGAGATAGAAGCCATAGCTGGACAAGAAAAGGGCAGGCAGAGTAATCCATGCAAATTTAAACTTTCATGTAAAAACAGGGGAGGAAAGAGAGAGTGGCAGATTCGGGGAACTGACTGTAGTTCTGGACAGAGCATAATGGAGTGGAATACTAGGGCCGGGGGTGTAGCTTAGGACACAAGCACCTGCCTGGCCAGCAGAAGGTCCTGAGTTTGATTTCTGGTACCCTCCCCTCCAGAAAAAGAATGGAATACTAAATGAGGCTGGAGGAGTTAGGCAGGGCCAGATCATGAATGGCTTTAAAAGTTATTATAAGGAGTTTAGAGTTTATATAATGATTAAAACAGGAATGATATCTTGATATTCTTTGAAGGAAGAATATCCAGGTAAGTTGTTCCAGGGAATGAGGTACTTAAAAAGTCACTTTGGTGGTGGTTTATGCATATTAATCCTCCTGAACTAGACCTAGAACAAAATTAGGCAAGTTGGCAAAGCCAGTTTTAGATCTTAAAAATGAGTTGAAGCTTCTGATCATTAGTTGTTCTGAGGCCAGAATCACGGAAAGAATTAAGTTCATGAACCAATATACCACTGTATTTGATACTTTGTTAGTGGTATTCGTATCTGAAAGCAGAATACCACGTTAATCCCCATGTTATTACAACTATTTTAAGCTTAAGAATCCTTAATATTTCCTTTCTACTTTGTCCCCAAACTTTAGGAGTATACCAAACAGGTTGCTCTTGCAGCTGTTACAGCGTGAGTGCTTGGCCTCCAGGCACTCAAACAAAATTAGCTTATTATTGCACTTCAGGATAAGCTCCAACATTACAAAGTAAAACCAATTCTTATTCTAGAGAAGAAAGAGTAGCTTGTTTTTGTGCCCTCAAGAAATTATACTACTGCTGGGGCTGGGGATTTAGCTCAGCGGTAAAAGCGCCTGCCCAGCAAGCGCAAGGTCGTGAGTTCGGTTCCCGGTACCAGAGAAAAACCAAAAAAAAAAAAAAAATTATACTACTGCTAAAGACCAATGATAAGGAAAGTAAGGGAAAGGTTAGCCTTATTTCAAGGTATACTTTTTAAAACAAGTATTCAAATACAGAACTTCGCAGATCATTCAGATCAACACTAACAGATCCAAACGATAGAGCTGGGTTGTTAGTAGTTGTAGTTGGTAGAAGTAAGTGAACAACAGCAGTCACTTCACAGGGCTTGAGTTGTGCTCAGGAACTCTTCCACATACCTCCTATGTGTTGATTGTTTTAATCCTCACCACCAGGTTAAGTGAATACTATTATCCACATTACACAGACAAAAGACAAAGATGGGTCACAAGATTAGTATTTATTTTTAGTAACTAGAAATCTTTAACATACTATGTCAGTGACTTAGTTGACTTTTCACAGTGAATAAAGTGTTTCAGTGAAAGTTCTCAGAAGGTGAAAATGGCCTTTCAGTGCTTTTCTTTTTCACTGTTAATCCCCAAAATTTGTTATAGGAAGACTTGTGTCTAAACAGAGGCTGATTAGGCTAGTAAACGTTAAAGTACAATTCCATAGTTAGAGACCTAAAAACCTCGTCTGTGTGTCTGTGTGCACACCATGAGCATATACGCACTACATGGAGAGAGACTATTTATATTTTAAATCCCAGAAATGTGCTCAATTACTAGTAACAATTAATAAATAGCTCAATGATGAAAGAATGCTAGAAATGTTATCTTAATTTTAAAAAGTGAAACCTGAATTAGGAATTATATTTTTATCATTAGAACACTTACCCACCAGAGCAACTTGCTTTTTAGTATTTAAAATCTACCATCCCGGCCATAAAGGCTATGTTATGAACATGATCAAACCCCTACCTTCATGGGACCCACATCGTATTTGGGGGTGTGGAAGCAGGAAAACGTGTATATGTGTGTTACATAATAGTAGAAGGCAGTGAAACTGGAGAAATGTGCAGTGTAACAGTACCTTGGGAGAGCAGAGAAAGATACAAGAAAGCAAACGTGCAGTTATCTGCGAGAAAGTAGTCCAGGAGAGCTCCATGCCAGAAATACAGGCGCATGTTCAAGAAACAGCAAGGAGGACTTAGCTGGAGATGAGTAGAGGAAACAGGTAGTCAGAACATAGGAAGGGCGTTGGAAGCTGCTCCCTAAACTTGGGTCTTGACTCAAAGATGAGGATCCATTGGACAGTTTTATTTATTAAATTCATTTTTATTTTCTTACTAGTAAATGTGTGTGGTATATAATGGTATATTCCTTGTGAGGAGCTGATGCATATGTATGGTACGTCTCAGTTCCCTTTTACATCCTTTTTGCCATCCGTCCTCCATCCCTCCTCCCGTCTCTTGATCCCTGTCCTTTTTTTAAATGATGCATTTGCTGTCCATAATGCTTACATTCCTTGTGTGGAATTGGTACCTGAATGTGACATATCTTAATTCCTTTTATAATCCCTTGTCCTTCTCCTTCCTGTTCATCTCTTGGTCCCCTTCCCCTTTGAGACCGATCTGTTTCCCTACTTCCTGTTATCTATTATTTCACTCTCTGTTCTCTTCACTTCTTCAGATTGTTCATAAGCACTTCCATAAAACTTATTTTCCAGAAAAAAACATGGAATACAGTGAACTTGTGAAATTTGCTTTATTTTCCCACTGAGACTTAGTATCAGTCATGTGAATGTCAGTCTCCTCACTTAAGCTGTGAATGGTATTGTTTTACCTTTTGTCTCCTGCTTGTGGTAGTAGTGAACGTGTGCATCAGGAGTAAATATTTGTCATATGAATGAATAGAAAAATGTGATCCATTTTATGAAAAAAGTGTTCAGATACTCAAATACTTCTCAGCTAATTTAAGAAAGCTTCATTCTCCTAGTAGTATCTAATATTTAAGTAGGTTTTCACTGATATTTTCATTTAAAAATTTATAAAAAAGGAAAATAAATTAGTGAGATATACTGATAGAAGTTGTTGGCAGTGTTTTAAGGACAAATAATTTTTTTCTGCCAGGGAACAGCCATTATGTTTTACAAAATTTAAATCAGTATTATAAAAAGGACACCTTTAAAGCAAATTCTCACAGATTTCTATCTGAATAACACCTGAATTGTCTCTAGTATAATTGGACCAAGAGGAAAGAAGAAGCTAAACAGCATAGTTTGTCACTAAAGTATTAGTAAATTATTAGCGTTTTAATCTTTCCATGTAGAAATTGGAAGAAGGCAAATAGTGCCACCAAGTGGTAGTATTGAGGAACTTGAATCACTTGCAAATGGCTAACCAGCTGATTTCTTTTCAACAGTTTTCCATCGAATTATCTTTCTAACAACAATCAGACTTCCGGGACTCCAGTGCCATCTACTTTATCAAATGCAGTTGGTTCTTCTGCTATGGCTTCAACCAGTGGCCTAGGAATCACCGCTCCTTCCAGTGTCACTGAGCTTAAGGAGTCAAGTGGAAGCAGGAAGGCCAGAGTTCTGTATGACTATGATGCTGCAAACAGTACTGAGTTGTCCCTTCTGGCAGATGAGGTAAGTTGTGGGAGAAATATGCCCTAAACGGACATGCCTTCTAATAGCACAGCAAGATGGAAATGCCGCATTGCTTATTTAGAAACCATGAATGTTTCATGCATTTCAGATGATTATATTGATATTTTATTAAATCTATTACTCTTTAATCGAATATCACAGAAATGTGTTAAACTTTCAACCACTAAACTTGCTATATAAGCTACCTCTGATAATGTTTAAAGTCCTTTGACAATGAATAGTTTAAGCAAATTAAATACATACCTGGTTTGTTTGCTATGTGTTTATTTTTTAGTATAATTAATGACTTGAAATATCTTACTTTGTAGGTGATCACTGTGTTCAGTGTCGTTGGAATGGATTCAGACTGGCTAATGGGGGAAAGGGGAAATCAGAAGGGCAAGGTGCCAATTACCTACTTAGAACTGCTCAATTAAATAGGTGGACTCTGAAAAAATTACTCATCATGACATCGTATTTATATATAAATAACTAAAGCAGGTTTAAGTATTTTCCATGGTAATGTCCTAAGAGACTGAAAAACAAAAGCAAAAACCCAGCCATCAGAAACCAGCCCTTCTGCCAATAAAGTTGCATGGTAAATATTTGATTCAGAGTTTGTTAGCGCTTTCATGCCAGGAATGTTTTCTTACAGAATTCTCTTTCTACTGAGATTTCACTAATAAGCTGCTTCTACTTTTGAGCCCCAACTTAAAGCAGAAGAACTGTTTTCTACTGAATTTTTCATTAACTGCAAGTTTTTTCTTTTATGTAAAATAAATTTATTGTGAATTAATATGTGACTCATTTATTAGGTATAATTAATAGCCAAAGAGTAAAGTTAAAATTTAATTTCAACTTTCAGTTTAAAAAAAAAAAATCGTAGGATATAAATCTCCTTTGTGAAGAATATGTTTCTGAATGCATCCATGAATAGAAGTGCAGTTGTATCATTTGTACCTTGTCCAAAGTAAGAATCAGATGACTTCAGTAGTACATTTTAATGGGTTTTTTTTAGTTTTTATGTTTTACAATTTTTGAGACACAGTCTTGCTATGTAGTCTAAGCTGTCCTCAAACTCTCAGCGATATTTCTGCCTCAGCGCCCCAAGTGCTGTGATTACAGGTGTGTGCCACCATGCCCTGTTTGGGGGTGTTTTTGAGACAGGGTCTCACTGTGTCGTATAGTATAGGCTGATCTGGAACTTACTTATGTAGTCTAGGCTAGCCTTCAACTCTCGGTGGTCCATCTGCCTGCCTTAGCCTTCCGAGTGCTGGGATTACAGATGTGTGCAACCATGCCCAACTATTCTCTTTTTAAAACACTACTGAATCTTTTTAAAGAACAACTAACCCTTAAAAAGTGTTACTATATTTCCCTTATACAATGATATTTAAGATTCTAAAACATCTGGAACAAATTGAGTTCATTCAGATTATTAGATTGCCACAATTTAATCAGAATTTGGTGCATTAAGAACATACTGAAGTACAGTAAAGAGGATCTGTTATTGAACAACAGTTCTATATAAAAATAAGAATTAAACTATTCATTATAAGTTACATACAAACTTGGTTCCTCTAGGCTTATTAATAAAACTTTGAAGATTTATTAACGAATATAGGTCATCACAAACAGGATCTCCAGTTGTGAAGCACACAGTATTATTAGTAACAGATTTGAAGCTAGAAAACTGCTATTTGGGCCAATGCTGTGAGTCAGCAGTTACGATAAATCAGATTGATAATTTGTTTTGTTTTAAAACTTCTATTCTCATTCATTTAATAGATACTTGTTGAGAACCAGATACTATGTTGATAAGCTGGGGATGATACCATGAACAAGATGCCCGTAGTTTTTGCCGGTGTAGCGCTTAAAGGCCAGTAGAGGATGCAGAAAAATAAAGCAGTTGTCCTGTAACAGAGTTAGTGTTACGAAGACGAAGTAAAGGGCACCATGTTTAGGAATCGCCTTAGAGGAGTGAGAAGTGGTTTGGGATGACAGTGTTCTGGGTAGAAAGAAACATGTGCCAGGCCTAGAGACAAGTGCACAAGTAGTTCAGTTTGACTTAAGCATGAAGTGCAAAATATATTTCATTTTTTCAGCGAATGTTTATCAAAATTTTTTTTTGGTATTTTAAAATGTTAATATTTAAACACCATTTTTAAATCCTTTTTTGTTAAGAGCTCCTATTGAGAGTTCAATAAACATGTGGTTAATTTTATTCCGCTGTCCAAACTTTAACTGGAGTTGTTACCCCTTATTTCTGTGCTATAAGGCATCCTCTGAATTTTATAATTGTGCAGGACGCTTTCACTCCATACTTCAGGCTTACTCCATACTTCACTCCATACCCAAAGCTGCCCAAGCTGATTAGTTTTCAGTGGAACCAAGTGAGTAAAGCTGTTTTTTTTCCTTCAAAGTATGTCTTACAGTCTACCATACCAGCTATAGAAATTCAGGTCAACCTAAACAGCAACTTTAAATTAAGTTTGTGGGAAGTAGATTAATAAAGGGGACAGAGTGTGGGTGTTAGACTGAACTAACTGGTCCTGACACCAGCCATCCTCACATGCTCTTGGAGCATCAGCTCAGACATCCCACCCCAGCAGCATGCTATTTCCTTGTCATAAGATGGAGAGAATTATACCGACATGGACTGTTGTGAGATAATGCAGCAGATGTCATGTTAGGTGCTTTTTAAGGACAGACTTGGCACACAGTAAACACATTCTCTCTGAATGTCAGTTTCCCTTGTCAGCCTGAACTGTAAACTATGGCCTGTGCATGGCTGTGTACAAGAGAGGCCGCTTTTACATCCATACTTTGCTCACTCCCTGTCAGTTCCACTCTCCAGCATCTTTATTTTTCATTTATTTATTTTTTTTATTTTGTCTTTTTGAGACAGGTTCTCGCTATGCAGTCCAGGCTGGCCTTGAGCTCACTTCGTAGCCCAGGCTGGTTTTGAATTTGCAATCATTCTCCTGTCTCAGCCTCACCAGTGCTGGGATTACAGGCGTACACCACTGTGCCCTGCTTCTCCAGCGTCTTTAAATCAGACCCAGATAGGAGTTTACCCTCCCATGTTCAGTATGCATTCTTTATCAGAATCTTCAGGGGCTGGGGATTTAGCTCAGCGGCAAAGCGCCTGCCTGGCAAGCGCAAGGTCGTGAGTTCGGTTCCCGGTACCGGAGAAAAAAAAAAAAAAAAAAAAAAAGAATCTTCCGCTTCCTACCAGATGAACGTTGATTATTGAAGGCTTCTTTCTGTACATTATAGGGTACTATAATGTTAATAGGTTCAGAGGCTTCTCATGCCTTTGTCTTCCACAAATCCACAATGATACATAGGTTGTTCTTAAGATTGTTGTTTATTTCAGTAGGGTTTTATTTGGCTAGATAGGGTGGTAGTGGTTTAGATTTGGCCAACTTTAGATTTGGCTTACTTTAAAGTCATAGGTTTAATTTTACTCAGGTAATGGTCCAAAAAGGATCTTAGGCATAGAAGAAAAAGTTTGGGAAGCCTACTATACAGTGCATTTCAGAATTATTTAAACTCTGTGCCCCTGAGCTTCATCTAAAAGTACAGTAACATGTGAGGATGCACATATTAATAAAATAATAAACTTGGAAATAGTCCATAAGCTCTTTTATCAATGAACTTAAAGTGAGTGATTGGATTGGATCTACCTTTATCCTTAATCTGACCCGTAAGGTCATAGTATTAGAAATTTTTTTATGGTGCTAATTAAAAAAAAATCATACTACAGGAAATGTCCCAAAAATGGGAATGTGCCTCAACTTTGGACGACATGCAAAACAAGAAATCTGGGGCGAACATCCTCAGTGGGCTGTAGCCCATTCCAGTCTGCCCTTACCCTTCACCAGAAAAGGAAGCTGGTTTGGGGAGGAAATTTCTGAGATAAACTGGAGAGTAGAGAGGATGGTGGAGGTTAGGACAGCAAACAACAGCAGCCTTGGTAACCCAGGAAGACCCAGCTTACCTCTGTAGTTTCTCAGCAGGATTCCTCAGAAAGTCCCTTCCCTCTGCCAGATCCCTGAAATTCTGGGTAATGTTGCCCTAGTTGGACTTAAGGCCTGAGCGAGGGGCTGTAATGCAGAAATGGTCTCACAGCCAGTTTGGCTCAACATCTCTGGAAGATCAAGTGCCCCTACCGCATGGTGAGACTCCCCAACCACACCGGCCCCTTCTGCCCCGTCATCCTACTTGGCAGGTCTACTCAGTAGAGCAGTGGTTGTCAGAGTTTGAAACCCCGATAGCAGTATCTACATGGCCTGGAAAGTTGTTAAAAATGCTGATTACCATTTTCCAGTGTGTGTTCTTTATTTGTGCTCACCTTTTTTCTTCAAGGGCCTCTAGAGCTAGTCTTTGTTCTCTATGTGATAGCCTTTTAAATGTTTAAAACGAAAGTCTTCTTTACTGTATTCTAACACAAATAATTGTAATTATAATTATTTTTGTAATTTATTTGTTTAGTAATATCTGTCACTCTAGAATGTAGGCTTCCTGAGAAACAGGCTGTAATCCCTTTGACTGCAAATTTCCAAATCTTAGAGCAAGGCCTAGCTCATGATACTACTCACTAAACACTTGTTAAATGAAAGAAAAGAATGCAAATTCCTAAGCCTTCTCTAGGACATACTGAATGCAGCTCTGTGGCTGTGCTGAGCAGGCTGTAGTCAGTAACTTTGAGTGACTGCTGCAGTCTGAAGTGTCAGAACCACTGCACAGTAGCAGAACTTGCCTTGCACCTTCAAGCCTACAGTCTGACATCACTTGAAATTCCTGCCTTATGTAACTTACAACATTACTCTCAAGAGGAACCTACTGCTTGCTCTCTTCCTACAAGTGAGTATGAAGGTATAAGGGTGTGTTTACTGTCAGTGGAGGACATTGCTTAGGATCCAGGCTGCTGTGGAAGGAGTCTAAGAATAAGGATCCTCCCTTCAGTCCTAAGAAGGATACGCACAACCACTACGCACATTTCCACTCACTGCAGTGCCTTTTCATTGGTGACTAACATCACACGCCCAGACGATTGTTAGAGCAGTATTTGACTAACATTACATCCCTGCGCCTCAGGTTGCTGAGCTCTGCTCTTATTCTTACTTTAAAAGAAACTTTTTAAGAATTGTTAATGCTTCTTTTATAGTATAAGTCATAACCATGTTGGTTTAAAAAATAGTTTAAAAAATTATCTACAGTTTCACCTTCCAGGGAAAACCACTGTTTAGCTATATGGCCTTCCAGACTCTTCTGTGTGTTTAATCATTTTTTTTAAATGGGATCAAATTGCACATGCTGTTTGTAACTTTTTCACTCAACAGTACATGACTATCTTGCTGTGTCATATGTATTTCTACATCTTTTTTATGGCTGCATGCTATTTCATCATATGTGCCATCTTTTATTATAAACTACTGTTGAATTTTTAGGTTTCCAGTTTTTCACTAATAAACTGCTTTTAAAAACATTGTGTTGCCAAACCTTGTATGTATTCCTAATTATTTAACATGAATACTTCACTTTCAAGTGCAATTGCTAGATAGTATGCTAGATTTTTAAAGCTTTTGTTATTGACTCAAAAGCTTTTAGCAGTTGACTTTTTAATCAGCAATATGTGAAGAAATTCTACAAGGACTTGGGGGGGCGCTTGATCTTGGTTTTTGTTTTGAAGGGCTTTCAACTAAATGGTCTTTCAGTTTAAAAGTAAATGGGCAAAAGGTAGATTTTTTTAAAAAAAGACCAGGCAATATTTCTGACATCACACCATTT